AAATTACTTTATTCAATTAATATTACTTTAATTTAAAACACACTTAGAAAGTGGAGTAGAGGCAGAACTTAAGACTTTCTGCCACATAGGAATGCCTCGACTTGGCACTAGCTTGAAGTCAAGAAACAAGGTTTGAAACAAAAATTACTCTTGATGTCCCAGTATAAACCTCAAAAGGCAGCAAGAGAAAAGGAAAAAGGCCAAAGCTCGTAATTGAAAAAAGTGTATTAATCGGACATATATAAAGAGCCAAGGTATGTCAAAAGTGTGCCAATTCTTTAAGCTACTGAAGCTTGCTAGGATTCATAAATAAAGAATTTAATAAGGACATCTTGTTATGCATTGCTTCCCCTTTGACAAGCAAAACTATTTTAAAAATAGAGAAATGTAGCAAGTAAGACCTGAAAATGATTAAGACCCCTTTCACACAGGCAGTCCGATCAGTTTTCAGGCAGACCCAATAGGATGCCCAAAGCTGCCCGTAGTTGAGGGTAACCGTTTACTCCGGTTACCCCAGACTTCAGCCAGGTCTGGAAAAACAAACAGAACAGTGTTCTGTTTCAACAGACCTGATTGTGGCAGATCGGGGGTAATGTAAACATATGTCTGCTTACATCCGATTTCCCATAGACCAACATGGGGTCCAGGTCATTTCATTTTTTTCCTCCATGAAGAGAGAGAAAAAAAACTGGATGGACATGGATGTCACCTCTGATCTGTACTGCTCTTATCAGGAGGGGATCTGTGTACGGATCCTCTCCTGATCAGTCCATGTGAAAGGGGCCTAAGAGTCTTTAATGCATGATCTAGGATTTAAAACCAAGTATCAAATGTTTCATGAAAGATTGGGTTGCAGCACCTGACATCATGGCTAGAAAGAGTAAAGAGACACCCAGGATGTGATTGATAGGCCCTTTCAGGCCTCACAAAGCATGACATATAATTGCTTAAGAAAGGGCAATGTAATTCCTGTAATTAATTTTATTGATGTTTAGCAACTTGTAGCCCATGCACCGAAGAAAAAAAAAAAGGCTGTTTTTATGCGGTTTGACTGTTCCAGCTAAACCTCCACTTTAAAAACAAGTTTAGCTTTTATTCATGTTCATTAAATCAATAATAATAATAATAATAAATAATAATAATAATAAATACAACATTTAAATTGATAAGTCCTTTATTTTTCAAAATCTTTAGCTGTATACCGAAATCAGAGAAATGATGTAACACTACTGATATTACATTTTTAAATCCATAGTAACCTTTAATCCCAATGAATATGCCTATGATTTTACATTATCGTTGTACAGGAAGCATTCTTGATTTGTCAGGCACCTAACCTTCATTCAAATCTAGATAATGGATGCTTTGGGCTGAAGTGGTGACACTGCAATCAAACAGCAGTGATTCTGCCAGGTCCAATACCACCACGGTTCAGTTTTTAACTAGCAGTGGAACCATAATATAGGTTAACTGATAGCTTAAAAGAAGCTTATACTGAGGCAAACACGTAAACTGCCATTGCTGACCTCTTGAAAATGCTGATTAATTCGCTTCTTCTGGATTCAATCATTTGAGTCACTAGCTTAAAACAAGTAGAAAAGTTTAGAGTAAAAGTTAAAACTCCTGATCTGAAGACACGTGGTCCTATTAAAATGATCTCTTCCCCCCCACTTATAATGGTTATTATGCAATGACATTTTTCACATCTGTTTTCTTATTGTCTTGTTTACTTTTTTGCAAACTAAAATAAAAATATTGCAAAAGAAACAGCAATGGTTCCGCACTTCCGCATCGAGTGATTGGTTACAGGTTGTGTTTACACATTACAGACACTTGGAAGATGCAGCCTATTCACAAAGTTCTGACATTGTCAAGTGACAGTATCAGTTCTTACTGATTGGCTGCAGTTCTAGGGTGTCTGATTGGTTACATCTTGTGATTACACATCAGTTAACTTCTGGACAGTGGCGGTTTCTTTCATTTAAGCGCAGGCTGTCCAACTAGTGACCACTGCAAATCCAGAGTTAGATTTACCAGTAACTCTATTTCCATGTGTCTACCAGGATAGCATAGGAGAGTTAGGCACCTCCACAAAAAGGAACAGGAACCACACTACCAAAACCAGGGATGTTCTTCTACAAAACTGGTCAGAAGTAAATGAGAACCAAAAAGAATGTAATCTGAAGCATAAGAAATACAACAAAAAAAGATCGTAACACAAGGGTGGTAATTCTGCTGTTTTGGAAGACTCATGGAAACAAAGATACTAGTAAATCTAACTGTGAATTTCCCAAAATCGTCTTTCAGGACAGCATATAAGAGGTTTAATGAAAACTTACTAGATTAGGGCGAACAAAAGCCTGGAGAACTCAGAGTCACATACACCAGCCTCCGTAGCCTGTGTGGCTTAACATATAAGGGTAATTAAAGAATTTATTGAGCTATCTATTTTGCCCTGTTATTACATACAGGCATTCGCATAGTCTGCATATGAGAGAAAAGTATGTAGAAATACTGCATATTTATTGAAGAAAACCCTTCACGAGGTCTTAAGTGCAAGCTGAAATTGTGTAGAGTATAAAAAAAAAAAAGAGTATAAAGTCATATTAGCACATAGAAAAGAAGGGTCTGCTGCAGAAGCGTGTACAGTGACCACTCACAACCTACATCATTGTATATGAATTTCAAATAAGCCTTTTGTTTTTGTATCATATAAAATGTATCTAAGAATCTTTTCTCCCCCCACAGTGCAGGAATAGCAGACTACACACTCCAAATTTGTGTCATGGTGGCGCAACTGTTGACACATGACACCATATACCAACAGCAATTGAAGCCATAGCATGCTGGTCATTTTGAGAACATACCTACAGTACTTTAGAATATGTAAGGCAATACTAAAACTCGAAGGATTTTAATTTATGTACTGGCGGTTCCTCTTTCCATTTGCACTTTAAATTACTTAAAATAAAAATATTTGAGATTCAATGCCAAATTCAAGCAGGCTTTTCCAGGGAACAGTGAAGAAAGAAAGACCATTAAATATTACGTTTAAGGAGACATTCCGGTTTCTACAACATAGTTCAGCATGTATAGCACAGACATACTCCATATTTCAGAGATTTCAGAAATTTGTGTGAAATCTACCTTAAAGAACTAGTGTCTACATTAAATACTGTACCACTAACAACAGCATGAACAGTAATAAAACGTTTAATTTGAGGTTTTGGCTTACCTGGATGAGATTGAGCACTTTGTCATGGACGATGGCTGGTGGGTTGTTCTTGGGAAGGATAGTTTTCACTAGCACACCCTCAACAAATTCCTGGCTGGCGACCAACATGTGAAAACGATGACCACAGTTTTTCACACATGTCTCAAGTGCCTGAAGAAGAGTATTGTAGTAAAAATGTTATTATGTATATAGCTATAGCCCAGGGCTGATTGAAATTGCATTATGAGCTTTTATAACCCCAAAAACTTCAACTAAAAGTACAAAATGTTGTAGGGAAAATGTTCAATGGTTTTATAAGACTTGCTGATATGGACTGTAGAGAACAGATTTTTACATAACATGTTTCATGGCAGTTTAGTCACTAGGCAGTACTATTTGTTGAATGACTGCAATGTTAAAGGAAATAAAACTAAAACTGTCAATGAGGACAACTGAGAGACTGCATACAATGTAGGCCAGTACAATATTGAACCACACTCCGTGAACCAGGGCATATGTAGTGAGCTTCTTTGTACAACTTAGGACAAGACCGGTAAGTGTTATTGTAACCCATTACCCAGCATGCAATCCCTTTACATAAAAGAATACTGTATACCTGAGGCCTGGTTCGCTCGAAAGACCTTCCTCAGCCAAAACAAGATTTATTTTTTTTAAGCTTGGGATAGTGTTGGAAGGGGTTAGAACTTGTCTGTGTTCACTCTGGGGAGTGAGGGGAATCAGCAGGATCACAAAAAACTTGTAAAAGCCTGACAGAGGGTCTAATACTTCCTCACTGTAATACATTTATAATGCACATATACTGTGTGTATGTATATATAAAATGCTCAAACAAATGAAAGGAACACTTAGAAAACACATCAAATCTCAATGGGGAAAAATATCATGCTGGATATCTACTGTATACTGGACTGGGTAACGTGTTAGGAACGAAAGGATGCCACATTGTTTGATGGAAGTGAAAATGTATCAACCTACAGAGGGCTGAATTCAAAGAAACCCCAAAAATCAAAGTGAACAAATGATGCAGCAGGCTAGTCCATTATGCTGAAAATTTAATTGCAGCAACTCAAAATGGTACTCAGTTTGTATAGTATAGTATGTATTAAAAAACATAAGGTGAAATGCATTCTTCCCAATTGGAGCAGAGACAGTAAAACACAAAAAAAAGAAAGAAAAAAAAAAAAAAAGAAGGCTAGAACCAATCCCCAACCCATTTTGAACTGAGGGAAAAAAGTAAGGCTTTAAGCATCAGCTTAGAGCCTTCTAAAACTTCTTGGAGCTTCTTAATCACTTCAGTCTAAGTAACCCAGTGAGAAAAGTTTGTCTTTTGTTCCAGTCATCAATATTTTTATTTATGAAGGATCCAGAATGCAGTGTTTGAACTTTAAAATTAATCTTATGAAGCCGTTTTCACTTACATTTATCAAAATGCAATAAACATAACATGTCCATTCTGCTGCATTTGAACTGCTTTTTTTCCTTTCCTCATACAGTTTAAAAGCAAATCGCACTGATCTCCAATGCAAGTATTTTTTACCAAAAAGCATTCCACATTTAAATAGTTTCTGAGGTTAAAGACTGCCTTAAACATCTGAAAAAAACGATAGGGAATGCTCATGATAGACACATATCAACTGAAAAAACTGCAATTAAAATTATTTAGAAGAAAATATCGGAGGCTAGCAGTAAATTGCTCACATCACCTTACTAAAAGTGTAGAACAGGGCACACAATTTCTTTTTTTTCAACATCTAAAAAAAGAGAGAGTCTGCCTAAACTTAAAAAATATGGTCTGCTCAAAGCCTATTCCCGTAAATAGGAGTCCCCACTCCACCCCGGCTCAGACTTTGCCAGTTGGTTCTCTCCTTATTTAGCACCGCTAAAATGGATGCTAGATTCCCTTCTACCCATTGGAGTAAGTGGTTTGCAACGTTCATTAATGTCTTCAAACTTGCGCCCCGTGATGGTTTCAAGAGACTGTCGTTATATTGTGCACTAGAAATGGCAAATGAGACTCTCTATTCTGGTCTTGAAAATGCATACTAGCTTTCTGTATTGCTGTCAGTTCCCAGCAATTTAAAGAGGCTAAACACATTATTTGACTATTTCCTCTAAGATCTGTCCACATAGGCTCCCCATCCCCAAGTGCTTGTGTTAGTGGTAATCCCCAGTTGAACGAAAAGCTGCCCAAAATCTTTTAGGAGAGACCTCTGCCCCACTTCTGCAAAGAATTTACCATATACCTTGAAAGGTGAACTATTGCTTCCAGGTCATCTAAAGACCTAGTTCAGTGAAGTATAAGGAAAAAAATATAATAATTCAGGATTCTTGTGTGAAACTGCACCCATTGCATGACTGGAATCAGTCCCAGTATGCACATGATCTTTCTTATTGACACCAGATTTGACAGTAGTTTCACGGTTTTCTCCACTGTTAAGAATATTGTTTGCTGAGAAGTGTCTATTGTATAGCGCAGCAAATGTACAATCTGAGATGGTATTAGGTTGGACTTCTTCAATGTTTACTGTCCAGCCTAAATGGAGGGTAGATCTGAAATCTTCTGCAGGTTTGCTAGGACTGGATCCTCTGATTAGGTGAAAATTAGAAAACTGTTTAAGAAAGGAATGATGGATAGCCCCTGAATCTTAAGTATTCTCACGACTTCTGCCACAACATTCTTAAAAGATGCACAGGGCCAAGGCCACTCCAAATGGGAAAGCTTGGTATTGGAAATTATGTATTCTCTCGTCTCTTATGGCAAACCTAAGAAATTATAGGTACGCCTATAGTCACATGACTTAAGCAGCTTTTATATTTAGTATAACCATGAATGCCGAAGGAGGAAACAGATTCCATATCATGAAAATGCTTTCCACCTTGAGATTTCAGATTTAGAATCATCCAGTGCTTTCCGAATGCTTTTCTCCTTAGGCAGACATGTAAGCAGTAGCCTAAACCCTCTTGAAAATGAGCAACTGGGACAATTACTTGTTGGCAAAAAAAGTCCAATATGAATTCCGTCATGGTCGCTCTATTTTTTGTCACAATCCCATACCTTAGAGGAGTCAGAGTTGAAGTGGGAGGTGTCTCTTGAAGCTCTAGTCCAAAAACCTCTGGGATAGTACAGGTGTGCAAGGACTAGAGCGGTACGAGTGTCGGCAAGCAGGGTCAGCAACAGTCAGGCAGTGAGGTACAGGAATGGCAGGCAAAGGGTAGTCGGGGACAGGCCAGGTTAGCAACTTGCGGGCAGTGTAGAATAAAGCAGTAGACAGGAGTATGGTCAGAGCTGAGCTGACGCAATACAGAAAAGAGAAGGTAAAACAAGCTGGGCTGGTAACAGGAGATCAATAAAGATGCAAGGTTCAGGCTCGGGGAACAGCTGAAGACCAGTCAACGTTGGAGGCAAAGATGTCACAGCCTTAAATAGCCTGTATGGCGCCAACATCCACAACGGGCATGTGCGCATGTCCGTGAGACACATGTACAGACTCGCACATACCTGTGCAGAGTCGCGTAGCGTGCACAGTCCTGTGAGCTAAAGGCTGGTCCTGGCTTCCTGACAATTTTGTTTTTTTTGAGATCCAGAAATTTCAAAGGGGGGCTTGCTTCAAATTCCAATTTGAGGGAAGCCTGAGGTCTGAACGTCCACCTGGTAAAACTTAACAAACCTGTAAACATGGGACCAGGTGGCAGTCTTGCAGATCTGAGAAACATATGCTTGATGCTGAATAGCCTAAGAAGCACTATCTGATTTGGTGGAGTGTGCTTTGACAAGGAAAAGTGGAACCTTGTCCTTAAGTCTATGTGCTTAAATGATGAGCTGTTGAATCCAGCTCGTGAAAGTGGAGCAAGAGGCAGACTGTCACCTACAGGGACATTCAGGAAAGAAACAGAGTCAGACCGCATAAGAGGCGATGTAGTTAAGAAATAGACTCGAACAGTGTATACCAAATCCATACAATAGAGAGAATTCTCCTTAGAATGTCATGGAGCAGGACAAAGAGAAGGAAGAACAATGTCCGGGTTAAGGTGAAAAGAAGAAACCACCTTGGGAAGAAAGGAGTCCTTATATTTTGTAGGTTTAAGAGCTTACCTCTAGGCAGATATATGAAAAAAACAGGGTTATAATTTATAATGGATCCTATAGTGAGATGACATGGGGCTTGCCACAGCTGGGGAGAGAGCAGAGTGATGAGTAATCAGCGTCAGCAGACAGGGGGTGTGTGGAGAAAAGATCCTGTGGTTCACCATCCCTGTGTCTCCTCTAGGCCATTTACAGAATGCCTTGTTTTCAGGGAAAATAAGGCATTTTGTGAATGGACGAGAGAAGCATAGAAAGAGTGAGAAACCTTTTTCTTCACTGTACATTAGTCAAAACTTTTAGTCTGGGCAGCAAAACCGCATGGCTTACAGTACTATTGTGTAGGTATAAAACTAACATCTCTAGTAGGGATGCACTAAAATGGCATTTTTAGCCTAAAGACAAAATTAAAAATTATGTTAGGCTGAAATCGAAGATTAGTTTTTTTCCCAATAGTTAAAAATGTTTTAAATTAATTTTTATTTTACTTTACTGTTAGGGGATTTGGGGAAATATCAAAAGTTTAAACAAACCCATGATATTTCCCTTTTAAAATCTAAAAAGAGATTGAGGACACAGAGTCCTCAATCTCTTTTTCTGCAGCTCCGATAATGAATAAACAGGAAGCCTCTAAAGTGAGTGCTCCAAATCCATTCATAAACTGAGGATACAGCATCAGTTACTATGTTCACAATCACGAAGGAACAGGAAGTGATGTAGATCACTTCCTGTTCATTCATAACTGGAGACACAGAAAGATCACTATGTCCTCAGTTATTTGCAAACACTCAGTGATCAGTACTGATCACTGAGAGTTTGAACTTTGCTCTCCATCCTGACTCCTCCGCCTGTCACAGAAGGTAGAGCAGGGCGGTATGTGAGGAGAGCTAGGCCTCCTGTGACAGCTGACAGCACTCTCCTCCCCAAACCGCCCTGCTTGGACTCCTGAAAGCTTCTCTCCTCCCCACTAGGCGCCGGCAGCTGGATCCTCTGTGTCCCTTCCGATCCCCGCTACACAGGCAGGGGAAAGCAGTGGGGAGACAGACCGGCACCCAGTGGGGAGGAGAGACGCTAGGGATGCACCACATTGTCGGCTGTTTTGGTACTATGGGCATTTTGCCGATAGTACCATATTTTTTTTGCCTGAAATGTTTCAATTCATCCCCAATTTTTAGTATCCCTAGCTGCCTCTGAATTTAGTCAGCAGAGCATTACACAACTTCTCTGGCTCAATTATGATTTAAAAAAATACTTTTTTCCTGGAGTTTAACTTTACTTTTCATCTTCTACAATAGGGTGTATGGTATATTGACTGATAGTAGTTCTTACCGTTAGGGCCAGCATCACCTGCTGAAAGTTCTTGTTCCCCACAATTCTCTTCCTGAGTGCTCTTATGGCATCTTTTGGTCTGCAGAAGGAAAATAAAAAGGGGTGCACTTATCAGCAATGTATGTAGAAACAAAACACATTGTCCTCATAGTTCTCATTCAGTATTCTCACCCTTCTTCAGTTTCATTAATAATATCACATATCTCCATATTTAAGGCCCAGTCTTCAGAACGCAGTGACCCATCTGTGGCTTTTTCTGTAAGACACAAAAAAGCACAAAATACACTTTAACACGTATTCTGCATTCTCCAAAAATACTACATGCAATCCTTGAAACCCCATTTTCAGGCAAAGCTCTACCTCCTCACAGAAACAAAAACAACGTTCTTAAGCCTTTGTTATACTCATCCAACTCCGCCATCTATATTCCTCACCATGCGCCATTTCTGGGTTGTCATAATTTTGCTGTTCGCTGTTCATTGCTGGATGCTCTGACATGAGGAAGTAAAACCCTGTCTCTTCCAAGATGGCCACCTCCACACAGAGACACAGTTAATAAGGCATGGCAAAGCAGTAAATAGAAAAGATTACCTGCAGGTACCCTGCGGGCAATACTGGTGACTAGTCCTTTGCTCTGTACAATCATTTTTTTGAACACAGTTATTTCTTTAAAAGAGAACTACGGGGTAACCTTTTTTCCCCATAGTTCTCTTTAGGGTCATGGGAGGAAATGTGTTAGGCGTATTTGTGGGAGGAGCCCCACACATTTAACCCCCTCCGTTTTCCCTACTCACCTGTCGGTATGTCCGTAACACCCTACCCGCCCTTGCCCCTTCTGATATTTTACTCTGAGTATGCCCCCTTATTTTGCATACTGACCATAGCGACCATGGCACACCTCAGGTCAAGTTTAGGCAGGTTCATCATCTCAATGTTCAGGTACGTATCAATGGGGCTCTGACTACAAATACTAACGCTATTGCCCACTATATGCTGAGTGCCGCAGCCAGCACGTATCCAGACTATACTGTTGACATCCAGCCCCTGCTGGCTGATAGGCAGAGCTCGCTGTCAATCTAAAGGCAGAGCCAGCTATGCCAGCCCCCTTCCCTGTCCGTCCCTGCAGTCAGCGCTGGAGGATCAGAGAGGGGAAGGGAGGACTGACAGTCATCGATCTCTGTGGGGAGTGAGCGAGCGGCAGTATGTTTTCACTCACTTCCCAATCAATAGAGCCAACGTGTGACAGTTTCAATGTCACAAGTTGGCTCTAACAATGGGGTCGATTGTAATTCACTCACCCCACATTTCTCCTTTAATGCACATCTTTATTTGTCTGACATCTATAGGTCCTTCATAGTCAAATTCTACTTCTACCAAGGTGCCAAGGTGAGGGTCCTCCAAGCAGCCCACAACAACTCCCTTAACTTTCAAAGATACGAATACCAGCTATTAGTGGAGTTAACCCCTTCTTCCATCCATGGTCAAAATATCTTAGAGTTGACAAAAAAAAATGTGTGGATTACCCTTCATCCAGTGCAACTTTAACCAAGGCAGTTGAATGCTGTACATTTATATACATCAGACCTACTCCAACTATTAAAAAAATTCAGAAATTAAAGTTAACCCTTGCAGTGGGGCTACCCTCACACTGCAAGAGTAGCTACTCGTTTTTCCCTAGAGGCCGAATATAGAAGATATACTCACCCGATCTAATGCAGGTAAATGGACATGTGTTAGATCTGATGACATCAATGGGGCTTGGACTGAGACAGCACAGGAGAAACAAAAAAAAAGGACACCAGGGACCGGTCTAGCAGCCAGGCAGGATTAAGGATCTTAATTTTAATCTTCTTTTGTCCAGCTCCTAACCCCACTGCAAGGGTTAAATGTTAATTCCTGGCGTTACAAATATAGCCTTTGTTTATCTTTGAAATGTAATCACTGCCAACCCACGCCTCACAACCTGGAAGATGCTCCCCAGTGGCAAATTTCTGTCTAGAAAATATTTGTGTAGAAATAATGAATTACTCTTTGTTGACTCGTTTCCTATCTCTGACACTTCTTACGCTATCACTACCTATCCCTATCCTTTACCATTTCCACGCATGCACACACTCCTAATCCCCTCACTAGGTAATCATCACCACAATATGCTCGTTTAAACGTGTTTAGGAACTTACTTGCTTAAATGTGCATACCAAGGCATTCATACTTTAGATTATGAGCAGATATTTGTTTACAAAAGACAAACTAGTGTAAGATGTCCTGTCCTAAGTATTTTACAGCTGATTACCCACAGATGATACACTGCTAATGCTTCAACTAAACAAAGGGGAGTGTTAATGGGTTTTATTACATCTGTCCCATTCTCATTAATTGCATATTGAGCTCCTAAATTCTTATCGAGGATTGACCGTATTTGTTTAGTTTTTTCACCACACATTTATGGGCACCTGGCGCATGTGAACGCATGGGCAAAGATGCGCATTTTACCATCCATATTTTTTGGGTGCCATCTGGGCTGTAGATCACCTCTAAATTGGTGCTGACACCGTCCTTCCTTCTGGAGGGTGGCTACTTTGTTCCCCATGATCCCTGTGTGTGTGTTGAAAAGTCACCGATCCAAGCTTGCTCCCGAGATGAATTAAAATAGTATTCTATCAGGGGAGCGAGCTTGAAGTTTTATCTCTTGTTTTTATCTCTGCTTTCTCCTCTTGTCAGAATGTCTTTTGCCAGCGTTGATTTGGAAACAATTGGCTCCTTGTGCTGCTGCTTCTTCTGCCACTCGACCTGTGCTGCACGGGAACTGCAAGAGGCTGATTCCAAGTCAAAATTGAGTATTCATGATTACAAAGCTACATTATTTTTTGTCTTTTTCATATCTGCCTGGAGTTTCAGCTTAAAGTGAATACAAAAGTAATCTCTAATTTTATATATCGTGTTACGTCCGTGTTTTTCTGCAAGCATCATTATCTTAACTATGTAAAGGAACACTCAAGTCACAAGCAGTCCTTCATAGACCAAGAATGCTGAAATCTGTTATACATAATCAGTCTGACAAACAGTGTCTCCAAATACACAACATTGGAAGACGTAATAAACAATTTCATGGATTATTTTGTTTTAACTATGCTTTTTCTTCAACTCTTCTGTAACCGTTATCAAATTATCTGCATAATGTGAAGAACCAGCAAACACCTATTGATCGCTTACTTTGAAGAATTCGATCTGCCATGTAAACAACCACACCTTTAAAAGATGACAGAGGGGGAGTTATTATTTGTCTACAGCAGATTCTCTGGGACCCAAACATGTTTTCTGGTTTACAGAAAGAGCAGGCACTGCTAAGAATATATCCCAGTCACGCCAGCTTTACAACCACGCAGGGAACATTCTTCAAGCTGGCACAGCAGAGATCCAAGTTATATTATTAGTACGGTGTGCAGGTCTCACATTTATTTCTACATGAAGACTGTTACATTACAAATTTGGATGGAAACAGTTTCTATAGACTCTAGTCTTATGACAACACTTCCAACATACTTCACAACATTCTGCAACGGGACAGCTATTTACAACACCCTGCCAGCCCCTCCCACCAGCCATGATCTGCCTGCAATGCATAGAGCAGCACGGTGATCCAGTTATGTCACTGGGTCTAAAATAATGTATGCAATGAAAATAGAAAGGTTTTAGGTAATGCAGGCACTGTTGTGCCACGTGTTTTGGTGCTGGCGATCGCACTGCAGGCTGGGGGGCGTAGCTGCAGTGCCATTGACTTCAATGCACCGCCACTACCCCTTCGGCCCCTGAATGCAGGAAGGAAGCACTATTTTTTCGAGATCGCACTGGACCAGAACAGATGTGAGCGAATTGTGCTGGAACACTCCGGAGCTGGTGTGAACCGGCCCTCAGGGCTTCACACCATGTCTAGACATGGAACAGTTTGTTCCCGGACCAAAAAAGCATCGCAATGTATCCCTATGGTATTTCTGGGCTCTGTTCACACCAACGCAGTCCGTTCCAGACCAGACAAAAAAAATACTGCTAATCTAAATTTTCTCTGGTCTGGAATACCCTGGAACACATGGAAACACATGAAACACATGAAACACACATACAAATCAATGCAATAGACTGCACCTGTAAGGCCATTTTTAGCTTTAAAAAAATCGCTGTAAAAACGCTGCAAAACGCAATGCACTGCATTCCAGATCTAGTCCGGAAAATGGTGTGGACCTGGCCTCAGGGCTTAAGGAGGTTTTCATACCACAGAGCACAGGCCAGCACTTCCTTGCTCCTTGGCAGACCAAACTACTTCTACTACCTATATATGCCAACAGATTTAAAGACTCTGACACGATCTCTGCATTTGGCTCCAGCCATCTGCCAGAGTTAACGCAGTTTTTGTAGTTGAAAGTGCCTATGATTGACCTCTTGCAATCCCTGCACATGGCTGGATTGTGAGGAGAAGAAGCAGTGCAAGAAGCCAGTCAGTTTATTTGCAGACAAGAAGCATGCTGATAGGAAGAAAAGTAGATTGACAGATGAGCTCATCAACATGCTGCTTCTCCTTTCACTGTCCAGCAATAGACTGGGGCAGGTCCAGGACTACTTGAGCTCAGAGGAATTGGGTTGAATGATGCTGGCCATCAGGCTGAGGATATCTAGGAGCAGAAATGCTATGGAGGAAAACTCTGGATTGGTCTTGAATGTTGCAGAAATAGCAGTTTTTGTTTTATCTTTCGATGGGCTATTTATTTTTATTTTATGCTAGAGTTCTGTTTTCAACATCAATAACCTAAAATATCTTTCAAACAAAAGGAATCTTATTATAATAATAAAGTCTTGCAATTCATTATAAAAACTCCGGGCATGATCCTCTGCAGTATAAAATCAGGAATTTCAAATAATGAAGTAGCTTCATTATTGCAAATTGGCAAACCATTTTATATGAGAGCTGCCAATAATATGGTTAAAAAGGGAATTTCCACCTTTTGAAAAGAAATAACAAATGCACAATTATCCATAAAATAAAAAAAATATGCATGTATTATTCTTTGACATAGGAGCCAGTAAATCATTGCAATCACAAATCAGTGTATTGCTAGCGCAATGCTCTGGCTCCTCCCATCCACGTCTGTACCAAGGTATGGACATTCAGTAACATAGACAGGAGGAAGCGTCAATGGACTACAAGTATATCTGTAGAAAATAAGTCAAGGCAACTGGACTTGCTGTATTTTTCTAGAAGAC